ATGATAGTTCTAGAAACGTTGCGTCATAGTAGTCATGTGACTTGCTGACGCAACAATATTATCTAAAGATCATATTAAAAAGGGCACATTTGTAAAACTGTTTTAAAGTTTTGAAAACCATGTCAAATAATCAAAAAATGAGAAAGTTTCAAAAATAAAATTAATAACTTTTAAATGGAGCTTAGTAAGTTAGAAAATAATAATAATGATTGAAATATGATATGATTATATACAGATTTCAGTTACAAATATAGTTGTAACAAACCCAATGCAAACATCTTTTTAAACAGTATCAGGTTTTAGGCACCCTTACCTTTTACAAAGGATAAATAACTGTTACAAAAATTCTTTATAACTAAGTAGAAATACCATGTTTAAAAAGAGAATATGAGTATTTTAAGACTAAATCTATCTGATATTGTTATGATTATGTTTCTGTTTATTTGTCTTTTTTTAGCTTTAAAGACTTTGTATAGTTTATTTGATTAATGTACATTCACATATATAACATTTCTAAACACATTATAATTTTAAGAAATGCAAGACGCTGGTAAAAACCTTGAATTTTTGTCTTTGTATCATTTTTTTAACGCATATATGCTTGCAAAATAAATATGTAAATTAAAAATATTTATTCTTCTGATTATTATATGGACAGTGTGATTGCTGATGTTATACTGAATCCATTATTAATCTCTAGGCAATGAAAACCTGTTCATGCTGACCAATCAGGAATCTGTTGAACTTTTGGTTACTCTCTCAATTAATAATATTACGGTTCAGGCAAAGTACTTGACATTCTTTATTGACAGAGAAGTTGAGAACTACAGACTACATGTCAGTGGTTACAGTGGAACAGCTGGTATGTTATATTGAACATAAACTGTTAATTTTTATAGCTTTCTTTAATACTGTACAGTGTTCTGTATGGGTATGGAAATCGTTGAAAAGTATTGAATTTAGTATACCTGCTTTCCAGGCCTTGAAAATCAGGGAACTACACTATCTCTACTGATTAGAATGGAATTTGCTGCTTGTATTTTTTTTACCATATAATGTATATCTAATAATGAGGACGTTTTCAGCCATCATAAAAAAATCTTCAAACTTAGTACAGGTAGCATAATATCAGAGTAAAACTATAAAACAGGGAAATGCTCACATTTCACCAGAATATATTAAAATAGTGTGTTACGATTATTTTTAATAAGAGTTTTGTCGGATTTTTTACTCTTTCTAGTTGTGTCCATAAATATGTAGAGTGGAAAAAAATTCGTTCTTCGTTTTTAAGTTTGGGTAGTTAAAAGTTATAATTTAAAGTGATTTGTTATCATTCTCACTGGATGAAAGTACAAGTAGGACTATCTATATGTAGGACTACACTTGGTACATTTTGACCTGTTAGTCAAGTTTCTCCAAAAATAAACTCCTTTCTGATATTGATTATATTTCTATGATACCATTTATGTTTTTTTTTCTATAATTGTTTTTCTTAAAGGTACCTTTCAGTTGATCCTCTCCCTATTTCAAAAGTTTTGTTAGTTCTACCATTGTACTTTTTCTGGATTCATTAAGATTAATTTGAATTCTTCATTCAAACTTTTTCACTTTGTGGTTAAAAATAAGCACAGTTGGATCTAAGTTTTGTTAAGAATAATATGATGGTAGCTTGCTAACATGAATATCTGTAAGTAACTGTTAGGAATTCAGTGATAATCAGGAAAAGGTTTATCAGGTTAGTAGCAACCTGAGAAAAAAAATTCAGATATTTCAGTGTATCTTAAGTGTGCATGCTACTTGTCACTTTCTATTATAACAAATAAACGCATCTATAGTATGGCAATATCTTTAGACAAATGAAAATGTTGAATTTGGTGAAACTAATTTGTTGTAGTGGGAGTAGCAAATCAAAGAATATATTAGGCCTTTACTTCATCCTTTCTTTACTGAAAATCCTATTTCAATGAAAAAAAACAAAGAAATTAACTAATAAATAACCAGTTAGACCTCTAAATAATAATAATGGATAATTAATTGTGATGGTATATCATATGTTATCAAACACCTAAAACATTTGAGGTGATTAATGGTGAGTAAAGGCCTGTACATCTAAACCAAAATAAATTTTCGTTGGTGTGCTGACTTTTATTTAACCAAAATATTGACACACGTTTTTCCAATTTCATTCATACACCATCTATACAAGAATTGTTTAACTACTTGCATATCCCTATGTTAAATTATTGGTAGAATTTACGTAAAGAATGAATCATTATCTCATAGGTAATATATACTGTGTCTAAAGTCTTATATCTGTTAAAACAAAACTTGTTTAAAATAATAAAACTTAGTGCATTATCGAAAAGTCCTTTACTCCTCAACTGAACCAGTGAAGCAATATTCACATACATTGTATACATTAGAATTATGTAGCCAGCTATCAGTATATATATAACCAATGAAAAGACCCAAAGATTATGAAGTTTTTCAGATTAAACTAAAATTTAATTATAATAAAAATGTTTTACCTATTCTTTATTTATTATAGTATTGACACATGACATAAAAATATTTTAAAACAAATTAATTAATGTGTTATTTTAAATTTTGGTTTTTGTGGAACTTTTCACTCTTTCAAGTTGAATTCTTGATTATATGGAGTACAAAAAAAGTTATTTTACCATTTAGTGTTATTTGTTATTTTTATCGCTAGATGGCAACATAGACAGTACTATCAAAACTTAGTATTATATGAAATCAATGTTTGGGGCTGTGGTTTCTATCATTCAGGGATATCCAATGTACTAAGAACCAGTGTATTTAACATCTATTTCTAAAGGTCAATATACTTATCACTTGGGGAATTAAAATTATGTAAAGTCATTTACACTCACAGCTGGGCGTGGCCTGGTGTTTAGCATGTCAAGCTGTGGATCAAAGAGACATTATGCTCTGCACTTTCAGCTGTAGGTATATTATAAAAGTGACAGTCAGTTCCATTATTAACTTCAAAGAACCAGACAAAGCCCTTCTGGTTGCAGGTACTGCTAGTTAGCTGCCTTCCCTCTGGTCAGTAGTTCAAAATTATGACCTGAATTTTAAAGGGCTTTGACCTAGACATTTATCCCCACATGTGCGTTAGGTCCCATTCAAGTTGAAAATATCAGTTCCATTTATACTGAAAGATTAAGATATTGCTAAATAAGTTGCATATTTGGTTTCAAGAGATTGGAAGATATAAATAACTTTAAAAAATGGTGATATTCCACAGTTAACAAAAAATATTCTTAGTTAGAGCTTGTTCATGAAACAAACAAAATCCAATAAGTTCCATTTCTTTGTTCTATCTAGGTGACAGTTTATCTTTCCACAACAATAAGTACTTCTCCACAAAAGACTCTGACAATGATGGTTGGAGAGAACACTGCGCCCAGAAGTATGAGTCGGGATGGTGGTTTTCATCCTGTCTTGAAGCCAATTTGAATGGTCGTTACTATACGAATGAAACTCCAGGAGATCAACAAGGCATCATTTGGCAAAATTTCAGTGGAGTTAAGCTGTCACTGATGTCTGCATCCATGATGATCAGACCTGTGGACTTCCAAATTTAACTTTCATGACTTCTTTACTAAAACCAAATCCAACATTGATGAAGAAATCACTAGAATGACAATAGTTCTTTCACAACAACCATGATTTTTTAAAATGTTTAGTACAGCTTTTCCAGATGACACAATTTCCTTGTTGATTTTTGATGAATTATTAACACTTGTATCCATAAGACATATTATTGTATTTTTTAGGCTTTTGATGATATTGGAGTGAATGATCAGGATGCAGTTCTTAAAAAGAAAATGAGGTAATTATAACTGATGGATCATTGAAGTATCGTAGAGTCAATAGACACTATATGTAGGGATGGCCAAGGTACTCATTAGGCATAATACAAATATGCACGCTAAAAATCAACAATGACAGAGAATTTTACTTTAAAAGATGATTACCACTCACTTTCATTTGTTTCTCTTCCCAACAAGACAAGAAACCATCGCTAAGATACTAAACCAGAAAGTGACCAACCTTCCAAATTGTTCATCTTTTTTCTTGTTTCAGTCGAGATAACTCTACAACTACCTTATCACTAACGTCAATTTAAACTTAAATCTACTCCGTGTGTTTTCGTGGGCAGTGCACGATGTCATTGCTTAGTCGTAATAACTAGTAGTAATTTTTAGAAAATCATAATTTTAGTGTAAATGATGTTACCATTACCCCTTGAAGTTAGCTTTCTTACAGAAATATGGTGTTCCTTTAAAAAGCTTAAGTACCCGGTGAAATAGGAACTACCAACCAATAATAGATGACCAATAGATGAGTGTAACATGTAGAATACTCAGTGATTTGTACACTGTACAATGGTTGTCTTTAGGGAGCCAACCCCTATATTATATATGAAGTGAAGGAGTGAAAAAAATCAATACACACAATATTAAATTTTATTACACACATTCATAGAATACACTAGCTTTCAGTCAGGGGGAAAAAACGTCATGAAACAGGTAATACACATTTTGTAAATGTCAAATATAGGGATGATACAGCTATAAATAGATCATCCCTACTTGACTTCCAATATTAAAATTCAATGTTACACTGTAAAATGGATACTTGACTTTAATATTACTGCAGTTGGAAGTTATATATTCTTGACTGTTAGTATGCAATTTGTTTATCATAATATCCTTGTCATGTCAGGTAACTAAGAGCCTAGGACTTGCATACAAGGAAAACCAAGTTGAGTCAAAACATGTATTGATTATTACAGACTCTCGCTATGAGGTCAGTCGAATAACAGTAATCTCTCCTAGTTATCATAGAGCACCCCCACTTTTACATACTTGACATATATAGCAACTGTAAATTATATTAATTTTCTGGAGAGAGCATGCCCTCAGACCCCCTAGATTAAGCTGTTTTTTAGCAGCTTCCTATACTTTCATCTCTCATTGTAAAATCTACATGTCTATTCAAGCTTTGTAGCTCCTTCCTATACCACTGATAGAGTCGGTAGACTCTATATGTAAGGATGGCCAAGGTACTGAATAGGCATAATACAAATATGCACGCTAAAAAATCAACAATGACAGAGTTTTACTTTAAAAGATGATTGCCACTCTCTTTCATTTGTTTCTCTACCCAACAAGCTCAAAAACTAGAGAAAGAATCCATTGCTAAGATACTAAACCAGAAAGTGACCAACCTACCGAACTGTTCATCTTTCTTCTTCTTGTTTCAGTCAAGATAACTCTACAACTTCTTTATCACTAATGTGAGTTTAAACCTAAACCCACTCTATGTGTTTCTGGGCAGTGCACAATGTCATCTCTTGATTGTAATAACTAGTAGTAATTTAGAAAAAAAAATCATAATTCTAGTGTAATTGATGATGTTAGCATTACCCCTTAAAATTATCTTTCTTACAGAAATTTGATGTTCCTTAAAAAACTTAAGTACAAGGTGAAACAGGAATTACCAGCCAATAATAGATGAACATTAGATGACTTTAACATGTAGAATACTCAATGCTTTGTACATTATACAATCTGTGTCTTTAGGAAGCTAACCCATATATTATGTATGAAGTGAAAGAGTAAAAAAAGAATCAATTTTATCACACACATTCATAGAATACACTAACTTTCTGTCATGAATAAATGTCATAAAACAAGTAATAAAAAAACAGGGATGATCTATGTTTAGCTGTATCATCCCTATAATCTTGCTTGCATCTTTTTTGGCACTGCCATCCCTACATCATTTTACATTTACAAAATGTTTTTTATGACTTGTATTTTTTGTTACACTATGTATAGGCTTGAATTATTGGGTATTAAAAGTAATGAGAAACATTTTCATGGCTAGTAGAATTGTTAATAAAGTTCTGTTTGTGGAAATATTTTTTTTTGTTTAAGATATAAAGTTTTTAAAGTTTGCATACAATTACATATCTGTGTGTAAATAAACAACTGTAGACAAAATGAATAGACAAAACATCATACTAAGTGCTTAATAACTGATACATCAGGAGACAACATTATAAAATTTATATTTTTTTCACTACAGTAATAGAAGGATGCGTTTCATGGAATAGCAGAAAATATATATAAGTGTATCATCTAACTTTCAATCCACAGTTTTAACAAGATGTTGTATAATATATAGTTTGCAGTCAGAAATTATGTAAATCAGATTTAAAAAAAGCCCCTAACACTATCCCTGACCCTTGAATAAAACTGCCCACTCCCCTTTTGTTCTGAGCATTTAATATTTTATCAAAATCCCTGTCAGAAAAATAGCATTTTATCTAAGCTGTACATGAACTATTAAATTTTCATCAAGCATTTGAACCATAACACACTAGTTGGTGATGAAAAGTATTTATATACTAAACCATAACACACTAGTTGGTGATGAAAAGTATTTATATACTAAACCATAACACACTAGTTGGTGATGAAAAGTATTTATATACTAAACTATAACACACTAGTTTGTGATGAAAAGTATTTATATACTATCTCTTTCAGTAAAATTCAGCTTTTAAAATGTTAATATGTAAGCAGAAAAGCTTTTCTTTATATCTTAACAAAGTTATGTTTTGTTGATTTTTCAAAAATCAGTTTTCTTTTAGAGTGTATAAATCATTGAATTGTTACAGGTCATGTTTCTTGTGTTGTTTAATTATGATTTGTAGAACCCAAAATGTTGAAAATTGTTGTTTAAAAATTTGGCAATAAATATAAATGTTTTGCAACTAATCATTTGATTTGTTTTCTCTGATTTTGTTCTGTTTAATGCTGTTTGTTTTACACAATTATTACAAGATAACATATGTATTTGGGGCTTCATTATTCAGTTTCAGCTCAGCAGTACATATAATTAATTCAATGTAACTTGTATTTAGGGCTTCATTATTCAGTTTCAGCAGTAAACTTAATTATTACCCTGTAACTTGTACTTAGGGCTGCAATATTCAGTATGAGCAGTACATTTAATTATTATCATGTAACTTGTATTTAGAGCTGCAGTATTCATTTTCAGCAGTACATTTAATTATTACAAGTTTGAACAATTGAAAATAAGGAGAACAAGACTACCAAACAAATTGTCAGATTACCACCACAGAAATCTAATAATGTACACCCCAAAACAGCCAATATCAACAACAATTTACCAGCCAAATATCAACACTACAAGCTCAAGTTAAAAACAAACTGTGAACCAAAAATATCCAAACACACTACAAGCTCAAGTTGAAAACAAACTATCAATCAAAAATATCCAATATCAACACTATAAGCTCAAGTTGAAAACAAACTATCAACCAAAAATAGCCAATATCAACACTACAAGCTCAAGTTGAAAACAAACCATCAACTAAAAACAGCCAATACCAACACTACGAGATCATATTGAAAACAAACTATCAAACAAAAATAGCCAAACACACTACAAGCTCATGCTAAAAACAAACCTTCAACCAAAAATAGCCAATATCAACACTACAAGCTCAAGTTGAAAATAAATTATCAACCAAATATCTCCAATATGAACACTACAAGCTCATCTTGAAAACAAACTATCAACCAAAAATAGTCAATATCAACACCACAAGCTCATGTTGAAAACAAATTATCAACCAAAATTAGCCAATATCAACACTTCAAGCTCAAGTTGAAAACAAACTATCAACCAAAAATAGTCAATATCAACACTACAAGCTCAACCTGAAAACAAACTATCAACCAAAAATAGTCAATATCAACACTACAAGCTCAATCTTAAAACAAACTATCAACCAAAAATTGCCAATATCAACACTACAAGCTCAACCTCGAAACAAACCACCAACTAAAAAAGCCAATATCAACACTAAAAGCTCAATCTGAAAATAAACTATCAACTAACAACAGCCAATACCAACACTACAAGCTCACATTTGCTGTTGTTAGTTACATCTACACACAATTATTGATGTTAGTTACTTACATCTACACAATTACTGTTGCTAGTTACTTACATCTACACACATTTACTGTTTTCAGTTACTTACATCTACACACAATTAGTGATGTTAGATACTTACATCTATGCACATTTATTGTTTTTAGTTACTTACATCTACACACATTTACTGTTGCTAGTTACTTACATCTACTCACATTTACTGTTTTTAGTTACTTACATCTACACAAAATTACTCATGTTAGTTACTTACATCTACACAAAATTACTCATGTTAGTTACTTACATCTACACAAAATTACTCATGTTAGTTACTTACATCTACACACATTTACTGTTGTTAGATACTTATATCTACACACTTACTGTTGTTAGTTACATCGACACACATTTACTGGTTTTAGTTACTCACATTTACTGTTGTTAGTTGCTTACATCTACACACAATTATTGATGTTAGTCACTTACATCTACACAATTACTGTTGCTAGTTACTTACATCTACACACTTACTGTTGTTAGTATCTTACATACACACACAATTATTATTGTTAGTTGCTTACATCTACACACAATTACTGATGTTAGTTACTTACATCTACACACTGTTGTTAGTTACTTACATCTACACACATTTACTGTTTTTAGTATCTTACATACACACACAATTACTGTTGTTAGTTACTTACATCTACACACACTTACTGTTGTTAGTTACTTACATCTACACACAGTTACTCATGTTAGTTACTTACTTAC